AGAGGGCGTTTACCTGTTCCTGTTTAGGCTGGACGAACACCAGCTTGTTTCCACGTCCAATGAACGGAGATACCGAGGCATGGAGGTAGAGTTCTTCTGACATCAGCATTAGACCTTCGCGTACCGGAGCACTGGAAATGGAGAATGCGATCTTCAGGTCGGAGGCAGTCTTACGGCCGTTATACTGTCGCTCAGCTGTTGTGCATCATGACTGTGTCTCCCTCACCGGTATCTTGAGGGGCTGGAAAGCGCACAATGTAGCTTGAATACAAGATGCGATGGCCATCGCGATTGATGGGGCTGAGAGTTGCGGGGTAAAGGCGTGACGTAGCCACACCATGCGCCCCAGAATCTACTTCAGGCAGGTACGTACCCATAGTAGACGACGAAACTCACGGAGCAGACCAAAAGCTCTTCACGCCCCGAAGTATGTGGTGTCGTGGAAGCAAAGTTCTTCGGTGTCAGCGCTTCTTTGCGTTAGTCCGCACTATGCTATGCGGGGTGCGCAATTGTCGGAACATTCGAAATGGCGGGCTAAATGCACCCCAATAAATGGCGTCTTTCCTGGGTCAGGCCGTCAGCGGCTAACGTATATCTCCGAATCCTTCAACAAGAGTCGCGTGCTTACTTGCAGGTATATCCAAAGTCAGCTGCCCACGGACATGACCAAGAAAGGAGACTAGATAATTGCCAGTTTTCCTGCTTTGGCAGAAGCGCAAAGATCCGAAGCATGTTCATTTCCACCCGCTGCGATTAGATAGCTGCGGAGCCCCACTTGTACCAATCAACAACCAGTCTGGCGCACTGGGTATATCTGTGCAACAGCAACAACAACAAGATGAACTGGAGGAAAATATGGACAAGAATGGAAACAGATATTTCTCAAGCTTTACTGCTTTGGGTCAATTGACGGGTGTTTTATTTCCACCGAGCGCGATAGATCGGAACTAGTCGCTAAAAGTACAGAACTCCGTGCTGCTTGAGTCGTGATGTGGGGGAAAGAACGCGAAATCGCAGAACCACATGGTATCGCAAGACGTGCACAGGACGTGCACGGTACAAGGGCAAACACGGTGAATAATCGGCAAAGAAAATATGGCATCGCGGCATCTTCAGCCCTGTCGCTGGCTCGACGCGGCGTCCAAGGGGGGATTGAGGCTCTCCCGCACGCAAGCCTAGCCCTATCTGCGACCACGTTTGACAAACGGCACGGGCCTACTGCGGTGGGACGAAAGGCTTGACGAGCATTTCACTGAATCTGGAATCTTTGTTAGTACAATCTGAATCGCGATACGGTGTGCTGGATACCCACTTCTCGAGCTTCTCCTTGCCCCGCACCTCCTCGACCAAGAGCGGCATCTTGACCACGTTGAACTCATCGTACAGCTCCTCAATCTGATCCAGGTACTTCTTCTGCATCTTCCGTCGCGCATTGCATTGCTCGCAGGGATTATCTTGCTTGGGGAACAGCAGCTGGTTGACAACAATGGAGTGTGTGTCAATCTCGTAGCTGTTGAGTTCCTGAATCATGCGTTCCGTCTCGTACAAGGACAGGAACTCGGGGATGCAGACACACACAAACGTCGTCAGATCCGCATCCTTGAACTGGCCGTTGACCTCGCCGATTGTTTCTCGCAGGTTCTCCATCTTCTCGACCAGCTCGTCCATGTTCTGGCCGTTGGGCAGGCGGCCGGAGGCGCCAAGGAAGGAGTTGAGCATGGGGCCGAATTGGCGAGAGAGTTGCGAGACTTTGGACAGGGCCTTTTCCATGACGGTGGGGAATTGCAGGAAGCGGAGTGTGTGGCCCGTGGGTGCCGTGTCGAAGATGATGACTTCGTAGGACATGGACTTTACTTGCTTGAGCACTTCGGCAAAGGACATGGCCTCGTCAACACCGGGGATCTGTTGTCGGTAGTCAGTCTCCATGTCGTGGGGACATGTTGTGCCACACATACGCTAAAGGCCAGATCTTGCATCATGCTGCCCATGCCACCCAGGCCAGCCATGGGATCTTGGCCCTCTTCCGCACCGCTAGCTAGCAGATCCTGTATACTGCCATTGGGGTCGATCTCCATGGCACTGAGGTTGTCGAAGCCGTTGACGAGGCGCGCATCCTTGCCGAACTTCTGGTTGAAGGCATCTGAGAGGTTGTGCGCAGGGTCGGTAGAGATGAGGAGGACAGATTTGCGGTGCTTTGCGAGCTGGATGGCGAGAGAGCACGATGTCGTCGTCTTTCCCACACCACCCTTTCCGCCGACGAATATCCACCTGAGCGTCTTCTGGTCGAGGATGGACTGGAGCGTGGGCGCCATGTCGGCGTCGATGAGCGCGGTTGAGGCCATGTTTGCGATGGTTGCGAGCGTGTGTCGTATCGTGGAAGCTATATCGTCTCTCTGCACGGGTGGCTGTCAGTGGAATCCTTTGCAGCTCAAACATGGCGCCTGCTTCCCGAAGCTTCGGAGGGGCAGCGCAAGCGCCCACCCTTCGAAGCGGCGCAACGCCCCATTCCTTCTTTTTGGAAGACTGGGGAAACTTACATATGCGTGAACACAATATGTCTACAGGTATAGTGAGCGATGATGTTCTGTGTTGACGGTGTTGCAGGTGGAACCAGACGCGCAAGAAAGTTGACGGAGTGGGATTGCGGGCAGGCGCGTCATGCGTCACTGCACAGCCACATGTGGCCGATCCACTTTGCCCGCCCCATTACCCAAACTGTCGACCCAGACTCTTCACAACAAATCTCGCTACGGCTTCTTTTGTGACCTTAACATGCACCACCTGTGATTATAGACATATCGAAGCCTCCAAACAACTTACACGACTCGCAGCAAGAACACTACTCGAGCCAGGCCTGACGTCGACCGCCTTGTCCATGTCAACGATGGAACCGTGTTACCGACGGTAATGGTACCATATCGCTAGAGCAATTCTCATCAGGAGACTACACTAGAGTAGGCTTGTCGGATCGGTACTTACCATGTCCCTCGCTACAGCTCCGGCGCCGCTTATCGTCAGCATCTCAATCGTACGATCGGCTCCAATGTCCTCCACTAGGTAAGCAACCGACAGGAAAAGAGGCCATGTCATTCCAAAAGCCAAATCGCTACTAATTGTGACGAGGTTCCCCGCTTCGACTAAGTCGGAGAAGTTGAATCCTAGGTTCGAGGGAGGGAACTTGGTGGTAAAATGCATAGCCGGTGACATCTTCAGCTGTAGTTCACGAGATCTAGGTATGTTCACTAAACCCCCGATCAGTACGCGCTTTCAACCAAGGTAGATAACGTTGAGACTCACTTGGGCCAGCCGAAATTTTATGCTGGGACCCGTATTGATTACCTTTCCGCAACGCTTCAAGGTTGTTCAATGTCTGCCTCATCTCGCCAGAGCCTATAACATGGATCTTGCACGTCAAACCCGCTTCATCCCATGTCTGCAAATTCGGTGCAACATCCTTTTGTAAAATATGCGCCATGTCGATGTTACCATTCTCGCCTAGGTTGGACACCGTAGGTGAAGGAACGATGGGGTTGCCATCCATCATGATCTTGATAAACCGCGTATCTGTGTGCTTGCTAGCGTACTCCCGCGCTTTGAAAACAGTCCCATCACCATTCTCGTGCGATTCTGCAGTAAGCCACTCGTTTCGTACAGGATATGGGTCGCATACTCCATCTTAAGGTCTCCTCCTTCGTCAAGGCTCTAGAGATCCTCGAGGAAGAGCCGACCGGATGCTGCCTCCTGTACTGAAGTCACACTAATCCGGTGCAGTTCCACCGACGCCCGCTTCAGCGCTCTTTTGACATGGGTGACTGCGGGCCGCGTAACGACCATATTCGCCTGCCCCATCGCGCTCCGTCCACCAACAGGATCACTCAAAGAACCATCCGGGCGACGCAGAAAGTCACGTCGATCAGCATCTGGTTTTGATGTGACGTTGAAACCTGCTCTCTCGAGACCAAGTGTGTTTAGGTATTCAAGATGTCCACCTCCATGTATGAGAACAGGATTGTTCGGCCAATCCTGGTCAAGCAGCCCTCAACCGTAGTCCTCGACCTCATTCAAAACACCGATGATCCAGTCGGAATAGGTGTTATGGAAAGCACAGGCGCTGAATCTTGCTTGCATCCGTGGTTGAAGGTTGCTGTTGTTGGTATCGGATTTATCTATCCTGCCTCAGGCATACAAGGCATCCATTCCTCCTTACCGTATCTCGTACGAATGCTCACGTCGAAAGAGCGATCGGAACAATTGAATAGCGAGAACCGAGAGGACAGGCTCGTTACAACAGCCCTGGAAACCGGCGTATTCTGGATAATACATGAAACACCAGCCTCTCTGTTTGCCGTATCCGAGAGAAATGTATATTAAACTCGTATTCACAGAATAATGCAATCTAGCAGAACTACAAGCAATTACCCGAAAAGCTTGAACAGGGTAGATCTAGGCTTGTTTTCGAGGGCAAAGCTGTTCAGCAGATACTTTTGAGTCTCACGTATCTTGCCCGCTCTACAGGTCTGAGTCGGATTAGCGAATAGAGGACAACTAGAAGCGACAATGTCTTCGCGCTGAATTAGAAGGGATAATGTCTCTGCGCTGTGAATCGAAGCCATGCAACGGCATTTCAGCTCCTGCTTTCAGCGTACTATAGCTAAAACGTTGAAGGTCGGACTGTCGGCATAGGTTTTTCCGTCAGATCGAAATCTGGATCAACGCTAGTAACAGTGGCTGTGCGCCACTTTGCTCTACAAGCACTAGTACTTTCACAGCACAAGGGTAATGACTCGTACGCTTTGAAACTCATTGTAATAATCTCTACTACGTTCTCGAAGTAGATGTAAAAGCCGCCTTGAGACAACAAATCTCATTACAGATAGGTATAAGAGCGCCAACATCTACTGCTTCTACATATCATTCTCTTCTCTGCATATTTCTTACCCCATATACTCATTCCACATCAACATCTCACCCTATACCTTCATTTCTCATCATTCAACACCATGAAACTCTCACTTCTTATGTTTGGAGGTGCTCTCTGCGTGGATGCCGCAGTCCTTCGCAACCGCGCAAGTTACGCTGTGAAAGGAAAGCCTGAGGGATTCGCCACTGGAGTCACTGGAGGTGGTAAAGCAGCTTGCCAAGTGCCATCCAGTGTAGCTCAGTTGACGACGTGGCTCACGGACAATGTTGCCCGTTGCATCGTTATTGACAAAGAATACAACTTCAAGGGTACCCAAGGCAAGGCTGTGGAAAACGGTTGCAGGCCAACGTCAAACGCATGCCCAGGAAAGGGTGGCCAGGACGCCATCAATCTCAACAACTGGTGTCAGCCCAAATTCGCTGGTGCGGGCGTCAAGACTATCCAGGTATCCTACGATAAAGCAGGTCTTTACGGGATCAACATGGGCTCGAACAAATCACTCATCGGCGTTGGCAACAAAGGTGTAATCCGTGGTCGCGGCCTGCGGATTGCCAAGGCCAAGAACATCATCATCCAGAACATTCACTTTACCGAGATCAATCCTCAATACATCTGGGGAGGTGATGCTATTGCCACGGATGCAGGGTCTGACCTCCTGTGGGTTGGTACGTAGATTCTGTTCACCGAAAAGAAATTCCGCTAACAGACCAGATCACTGCAAGTTCTCCCTTATCGGTCGCCAGATGTTTGTAGCCGGAACTGGTGCCGCTGGCCGCATTACGCTATCCAACAACGAGTTCGATGGTCAGACTAGATGGTCTGCTACTTGTGATAACCGCCACTACTACGCCATCTACCTCGATGGCTCAGCCGACAAGGTCACAATGAAGAACAACTATATCCACCACACCAGCGGTCGAAGCCCCAAGGTGGGCCAGAACACATTCCTCCACGCAGTCAACAACTACTGGTACTCCAACTCTGGTCACGCATTCGACAACTTGGCTGGTGGAAAGGTCGTGGCTGAAGGCAACTATTTTCAATCCGTTACCACTCCTCTGCTCGAGAACAAGGGTGCTTTCTTTGGATCGCCGTCAACCAGCGCTAATACGGCTTGCAAGACGGGCCTGGGACACAACTGCCAGATGAATACGTTTGTCTCCAGCGGAAAGCTCGGTGGAACTGATACCGCATTCATATCTACCGTCAAGGGCCAGCCCATTGCCTCAGTCTCAGCAGCTAGCACTAACATCAAAAACCTAGCTGGTGTTGGTCGGATTTAGGCGCTGAACATATGGACACTCCTGCAACGGTGGGCTCTTGAGATCATGTCAATGACATTTTTACTTCTCTTCACATGTACATTATTATAAATCCTTGTTGTATGGGCTCTAGTCCTCAAAACAATCACTTGTTACCACTGGGGATTATATCCGTAATTGTCTACTCCACTGGACTGACGCGCCAAGCGCTAGCAACCCGTCGTTCTGAGGTCGGGTGCTAACATGGAACATTACGCTCCCAAGGCACTAGGCACTGCCGTGCCAGGGTGACACCGAAGAAACGACCTCGTTTTACACTGCTCTGCCACTCATGTTCGATCTTGCAGTGCTTTTGTATGTCGGATAGACAATTCAATACTCTACCACCCAAATATCTAGGAATCGTGTCTTAGAACCGACAATAGGATGCGCTGGGAACAAAAAGGGAATAGATAGGTGGCGACGCACTTATCTGGGGAATGCGACATGGCGCCGAAGCTCTTGGTCTTTGCGACAAGGTCGACACGCTTACGCCTGGCATAAGAGCTGGTGTTGTTGTCGTCTCCAGTAAGCGGCGTCCTTCTCATTCTTTCAATCAGCTTGGGACTACGGTGCTGCAGTCGTCCCCTGCGGATTTGGACTTGGTTATGGTGGATGACAAGACTCTGAAGCCGGATTAGCAGTTGGTGGGTGTGGATGTGGGCAGGGTACATGTTAAGGTGCAACAAGATTCGCGCCGCATTATGAAGGACTTGAAAATGTCAGCGTGAGGCGATGGTCATGCAAAGGGGCGAAGATCTCGTTCCGATACTGGAGAAGATGCAGCAAACTTGTTTTCCTAGTGTTTACATTTGAAAGAATAATATCTGGAGAAAGAGAGGAAGAAGTCATTACAGAGCTCTTCCTGGGAGCCCATGCAATACAGATAGATGTCCAGTAATAACCCTAGTGGCTACTTGAGTTGCGCAACCATTCATTGTAATGACCCGCCATCGTATCCTCCAAAGGACGATACTTTATCTTTAGCTCGAAAACGCTCCTGCGATTGTCGACTTTGAACCCTATTCCAATGTTCTTCGAAACCCACTTCATGGACAACCCCATGAATGGTCCCGCAGCATAGACCATCAGCTTGGGCAAGTTTCGCGTAGGCAGAACATTAGGCGTCTTGTGAGCAGAACGGACGGCATTTGCCATTTCCAGCAAGCTCAAACTACGGTCGCTAGCGATGATGAATCTACCTTTTGTAGTTGTATCTTCCCCCACAATGACATGTGCCTCAGCAACGTCACGCACGTCCGCTACCGGGTAGTGTAGATCGGCGACGCCCATTTTGTTCTCGCCGCGATACATGGCCTCGAGCATGTACAGGGAGCCTGAAGCGGATTCAGGGGAAAGAGAGGGGCCGACGACGAGGCCTGGGTTTATGACGACAATTTCCCAGCGGTCTTGCGCTTCGTACATCTTCCAGGCTTCTCGCTCGGCGGCGACTTTGGAGAAGCTGTACGGGTTCGTGGTGGCTGTGCTTGTGGTGTTCCAGTATCTCTCCGATAGCGTTTTGTTCTCCATTTTGTGGATGTCGATGCTGTCGCCGTACATGGCCACGACTGGATGATTGTTAGCAGGGCATTATGGTTTGTGGCATAGGATCACTTACTTGAGGACGTCAAGACCACTCGTTTGACGCTCTCTGTATCGTTTACGGAGACGAGAACATTGCGAGTACCATTCAGAGCTGGTTCGACGCAGTCTTTCATACCATCTTTGATCTGCTGTGGTACTAAGAAAGGTGAGGCGATGTGGTAGACAGTATCGCAACCCTGCATCGCCTGGAAGAAAGAGCCGTGACTCAAGAGATCAGCTTCGAACAAGGTGAGCTCGTCCGGGTACTGAGTTTGGAGATCGAGAAGAGACTTGCACTTCTTCTTATTGGCTAGACTGCGAACGGTAGTGTGAACGTGGTGGCCATGTTCAAGAAGTAATTTGACAACGTAGAGTGCGATAAAGCCAGTACCTCCCGTTACTAGCGCGGTCTGCGTCATCTTACAATTGAGTGAATAAGCTTGAATGGTTTTGGTAGAGGATTCGATGCGGAGGTGGAGAGTGAAGTGGACGACAAATTGGGTTGGAGGCCATGGTGTTGTCACCAATTGACCTTATATCCAGTTTGAACCGGCACATTGTTGCGCCATCTGCGACTCGCACATGGGTCCTTCATGAGAACCCCAATGCGCTGGTTGACATGTATGCATAGGGGAGGTGAAGCATTTCCGGGACGTCCTTGCACGGGGAGTACTCTAGCTTCGGGCTGACTGTCGGGCACGGCCACCACATTATACCGAGACCGTGCCAATCAGAATGTAAGATACGTACCGTCAAACCTGACGTAATCCAGCACGGACTCAAAAGCCACGATGACCGCGGCTTCTCGTTGTTCACTAATCGTGCCTCTGGTACTCTGAACCAATGAACAGCACCCAAGTACCGATTTTACGTGCTAGTGCCAGACCAAGCCTACACAACCTGGAGATAAAAGGCGTTTGGGAGATAAAATCCACTGTCGTCGCCTTACGATCCTTACCTAATCGCCCGAGTGCAAGCATTGGCTGTCGACTGCGGACTGATACATTCAACCGCTGCGACACGATCAGTACGCTGAACGCCCAGCCCTCGCCGTGTTTGAGTCTAATTTGCGAGAAACTTCCTTTTCTAGCATAGCTAGAGATGGTGAAGTTCGCTGTTTGGTCATTGCTCAAGATGTAACTTCAGCACTGCGACCGGCCAAACTCGAGTTTCCGACACGAAGGTGATGGGGCGACCAGCGACATCGACTGGTTTGCACATGAGTGTTGATGTTGAGAGATGAGTACACAGCTCCTTAACCATATAAAGCTTGCTGGTAGCTCAACAATCATAACGCATCGGAACTTGTATCTACAGTACTTTCAGCATCTTGGAAGTTGATCAAATCATCGCGACTGCACTTCGTTACCATTTTTTGAGCATGAAGATCTTTATCTCCTACCTCCTCGCTGCTGCTGCTGCTATGGCCGTTGCAACACCTATGTAAGTCACTATTACGATGTCCTCCGAACACTAGACTAAGACCTTCCTGAATAGGCCTGCAAAGACTGGCATGTCCAATGGCGCATCGCACCTGCATTTGGCGCAAACTTCCAGGACGAAGTTCGTCGATTTGAACGAAACCCGAATCGCTTACCGACACTTTGGCAAACCGTCGAAGAATCCTCTCGTCTTCGTGACCCATTACCGCGGCAGCATGGACACATTGGATCCTCTTCTTGTGAATACCATCGCGGAGAATCGCGAGGTGATTCTGCTGGACAACACCGGTATCGGCCACAGTGGTGGTAGCGTTCCTGCAACCCTCGACTCTATGGCTGCAACGGTGGTGAATTTGCTGGCGGCCATTCACGTGCCCAAAGCCGACATCCTGGGCTTCTCCATGGGTGGAATGATCTCGCAGATTATCGCAATGGATTACCCCCAAGTGGTAAACAAGCTGGTCCTAGCTGGTGCGCGACCGGGTTACGGTCCAGATGTTTTCCAAACAGCACCAGACGCTGGCATGGGACCTGGTGGCGAGCCCGATCGCCAGCCCACCGAAGAGTACATGCTTGGTATCTTCTTCTATCCGTCAAACACAAGCAGATCCCAAGGAAACCTTTGGTGGAACCGCATACACGAACGTCAAATGGAGGGCGAGACGCGAAAAGACTTTCTGGTCGGTGCGGGTGTTGCAGCCCAAATCACGGCGATGACCGCCTTTGCATCGGACCCTCGGCGGTACGCTCAGTTGGCCAACGTCACTGTGCCCTTGTTGGTCACGAATGGGAAAGACGATATCCTCATGGGGACGGGTAACAGCTTTGTGCTTCAGCAGCGACTGCCAGACGCCCAGCTGCATCTTTATCCTGATTCAGCACATGGCCATCTCTTCCAGTCTCCTGTAAAGTATGTGAAAGAACTTGAACGGTTTCTGGATTGCTGAGCATTGCGGAGGTGAGTCGTTGCTAGACGGCTATCTGTGTACGATATGGGTGGGCGTGCTGTAACCTGAGTTGTAATTCGAATTCCTTTGTATTTTAGTAACGCGCGTCTGAAGTCTCCACTCTTACACCACATATTGTCTCTGTGCTTATGAGCGTCTCTTACCATTTCGCTTGCTGTCCAAGGGCAGGCTCTGTAAGAACGTCTGTCATTACTTCGAAATAATCAGCATTTGTTGCCGTGATCCGGTTCGTACAAAGATGATTACAAACGTCTTTGATTGCAATTTGTGTCTTGTAGCTGGTGGCAAATAGCGGGCTGGCATCGTGTACTGCCAAGGGCCAAGGCACCGTACGCCGAAACCAAAGGCAGTACTGGTTAGGTGGCTTCCGCGATGTCCGAGATGTCCGAGAAACTGCTCCGTTGGAATATAGTTATATAAACAAGCTGTTCTGTCTCGATAGATTAACATCCTTCAACTACACCGTCCTCCTCCTGATATTCTACCTGTCTACGAGCCGCTATCATTTTCCAAGATGAAATTCGTTCTAAGCCTCTCTATGCTAGCCGCCTTGCCAATCCTGGCGATTGCTGTGCCGTTGGAACGGTCGTCCGAAGCTATCCCTCAAGATGTCAGCAAGCGTCAAGCTGCTTGTGGAGGATCGGTGAGTGTTGCCTTATCTAGTGACCTTGCAAAATAGCATCTCTCTTTGAGGGTCTCGTCGGACGATAAAAGGAAAACGGCTGATAATAGTGCGACGTCTAGAACTATCCGAGCCGCGGCGGCATGTGCTTGATCTGTGAGCCGGGTATACAATGGGGGGTCTCATGCTTTGATATCAATAGAGACGGAATAGTTGATCCGGGCGAGTGTGGACAAGCCAATTGCTCCGCGTAGTAGATAGTGTAAGCCTTGTATGTGGGTAGCTAGCACAGGCGTGTTCGACTAGAAGTCTAAATCACACGTACGTCACGATCGCCTAATTATTCAAACACTTTTTCATGTACATGTGATCGATATGGACGATAATACGCTCTCAGCCCTTGCACCAAGAAACGCAGTACAGCGAGAAGTTGCGAGTTTTGGAAGATGGACTCAGAGCGGTCCAGGATTTTCGCAACATCTCGCAACTCCGAGTAAGTATGATAATCCAACAGATCCTTCGTTAGACCTTTGGGGCAAAATTAGCTCATACATGCCAGATCATGATGCAATGTTCTTACAGATTGGTGTCGACGAGAAATGTGAGGATCAGAGATCGGTCCCAGCAGACTATCAGGTAAGCTATGACGGCATTAAGCTCCGTGTGAAGAGATCTCCTATATCGAAAGGATCTCTGCGCGAGAAGGTCAGTGGAATTCCCTTGTTACAGTTCGGTTGAGGAAATAGAAGAAGAAGAAGGGGAAGAGTAACCTTTGAGGTGGTTGGGTATTTGTTTACCAAGGGGATGGTTTTTTTGGCATGTAGCTTATTATGATAGAGAAGCAAGCCTCTTAAAACAAGATTGCACGATAGCACGGTCTCACGCCAGATCCTGGGCACTTTGAGACTCCTCTAGCCAGGAGAACTTTGACCAAGTGTAGAAGGTCTTGACGAGTAAGAGACACTGCCAACAATGACAGCTTAATTTTTGAACTATCTTCTACGTGAACGTAAAAGGCTCCAAAAGACCGTCCGACTTCCACAGCTTTCCATCCATGATTCCGTCTGCTGGTATATACGCAGGAGCGACTAATTTCCACTTAGCGCCATCTGGCCGAACGATCATAGGCAGGTTGCACCCTTGAATGAGGGCGATCGAATCGCCAATTTCGATGCTTCTCGACGCAATGCCTAGACGGCCGTCTTGCGTTTCGAAAAGCTTCTTGCGATCAAGTGTATAACAAAGACCTGTGTGCAAGGTGAAGCTGTACTTGAGAAATCCCTCTGTGGAGTGCTGATCAACTCGACGTCCAAGAAGTCCCAACAGCATTGATCTCTGTTTTCCTCCTTTGGCTTCACTTTGCACCTGCTTCCGATGGTTGTCTTGCCTCAGATCTAGTGGGTTTCTCTCTTGTTTCCAGATATCCAGAAATAGTGACTCGAGTAGACACAGATACTGGTGAACAGGTACGTCGTTGCGAGTATGGAGGGGCTCAGCGAGTTTTTCGGTCAACGTGTTTGCTCCAACTAACAAAGGAGTAGCGGCGAAAGTAATGTGCTCCCGAAACACGACATCGACAAGCAGACCGCAAGCAAAGAGCTCTCGCCCTTGTATTGAGGGCTGGACTTCGCTTGAACCACTAGCTTTGTGGTATTTCCACTCTGCAACTTTGGCGATGTGTTGATAATCTGACCAGTCCGGACTCCAACTAGGCAAGTCATATGTCGAGACTCCTGTAAGACCTTCGAAGACATGAAGGCTACGATCTGTCTGGATTGCTGATGCACTCGCTTCCCGGTATATACTCTCGACAGCTCTCAGGTAATCTGGAGCTTGTAAATAGGCTTGGAAGCGCTGGAACACACCATATAGCGCGAAGACCTTATCGCGGGGCTCAGACGCCTCGTGGCTACGAGCGTGAAGCAGAACTTCGGAGATTGAAGGAGGTATATTCGGCTCAAGAAAACCATTCGAATCATCGAGACGTGATTGGAAGAACCCCAGTAGCCGTCGATGGAGAGTAGTAACCCGTTCATATTCTAACCGCAGGGAGGCAACCTCTGCAGAATCCTGACCATGGTGAATTTGATGTAGCGTTTCCGAATGTGGCATCAGAAACACCGATCTGATATCCACGACAGCCTCTGCGCCTAAAAGTATGAGACAGCGTCGGGCAAGCGCAATTTCCTGCAGAGGCCATATGCGAGTGAAATATGGCTGCTGAATCAATCGACGTAAGGGGGGTATTTCATACCAGGCCACTGGAGTCTTGATGTTATCATACAGCACTAATGCATGATTTCTCCAACTCACCATTTCGAAAAGCAGAATTCAACGGTTTTCCTAGTGACCTCCCAAGCTCAACGTGACCAGGCCAGACGACTACTTGAATAGCATTTTCGTAGATAGTAGCCATCATAGCGACTTGGTGGCTACGCTCTCGCTGGATTCTCTGTTCTGGGGTATCCTCCTCCTGGAAGCCTTGATTGATGCAAATAGCATCGATCCAATAACATCGAGCTGTTCTCGTGCCGAGACTCCAGTCTCGTCTTCGCAATTCGTAAAGCAGGTCATAACAGCTTTGTGTAACCCATAGCCACTTAGAGCCACAAGCTACATGCTGCACCAGATCTGCGGTGCCCCAGGCATAAGAGATAGCTTCATACTTGGGACTGTCATCCAAACATGCTTCGTGCAGGCTGACCTTTAGCATGTTGGGATTGAGCGTCGGACCGCAAGCGTGCTTGCATCTATCGCTCTCGCGATAGTCATCACAGCGCTCCGAGGGATCGTCAGCTCCGTTATCGCGATTTTGTTCGACTCTGGGTGATCGGAACGTCCGTGATGGTTCGACTCTGAGTAATCGTATCGTGCGTGATGGTTTGTCTTCCAGGGAATCATACTGGTATAGATACGGGCACTTGGGGTGCGGTGCTTCTGGCTCCGTCAATGAGGAAGCGATATCAGTCATGGCGCTCTGTCTGCATTGAGGGAAACACTATGTAGGTTGGGACAATTAGGTTGTTACGCAGTCAGAGGCTGAGACAAGTTGCACAAAAACAGGTTTTTCAACCGAGTTAATGCCTTTTATGCATGGCGCATGCGAGGCTGAGCCAGTCACTTGATCTCGGGCCTAGCGGCATGTTCAGCTCGTACCCCACTGTCTTTCTTTGGTGACATTTCAGCTGCCAAGCTCTCGCGTCATGAATGCATCAACGCCGTCGAACTACACTTGATAGGCCGATTGAACGATCTAGTAAGCCTGGAATTCTGTTTGTCGATCGCCTTGAGTATGGGGGATTTGATTGGGTATGTTGGAGATGCTCAACGCCAAAGACCAGGAGAGAAGAACGGGAAGGATGTGATTCATCTACTCTCAACACAGCGTCACGGCAACAGACTTTGAACAGCGACAAAAGCATCGGCCATCACACTCCAGATGTGTGTCCTGTCACATCTTCATCCCCGCAACCTTGCCCTTCTCCGGCTCACCCTCTTCGTTCTCGTATAGCGGATTGACCTGCACTTCCCTCACCCATAACCTGAAGGACTTGTCCAGCGTCTTCCTGTTCATGACCGCGCAGTCCTTGATCTCCTGCGCGCTCAGATACGACACCGCTTCCGCATCACCCCCCGTAATAGCAATCGCGCGTTGCAATAGTATGCAGTTCTTCTGAGTATATATCGCCCGATACACAGCCTCTTCAATGCTCGCTCCAAACGTTGTGAACCCATGCTTGTGCTGCAGCACCACCGGGTTCTCCGGCGAGAACCGCGCTGCCAGAGCTGCACCAAGCGTCGCATTCTTGATCAACAAGTCATGCTCCGACGGCGCTCGTGCCGTCCCATACAGACTATCCATTGTGAATACCGAAGCACCGCCCTGGCCAAGGAAGCCAGCCATGTGAAAGACCGGTCGCACAGGATGCGGCTCCCGCGCACCATGTCCCACGGTGAAAGGAATGACATCCTCTGAATGGGAGTGCACCACACAGTTCACTTTTGGGAACCGTCGCAATATCTCGCCGTGTATGTAGCGCTCGCTGTAGCCTTGTGGCGCGTCGGGGTCGACAGGTGTAGAGTCCTTGACCCAGTAGGATATGAAGTCGCTCATGTTCTTGACGAGCGCCGGGGCGCCGGGATCGTATGCGGCGATGATGTATTGCTCTTTGTTGAGCGGGTGTCGCACGGATATGTGGCCGAAGGCATCGACGAGGCCATGGTGGTGGAGGATGTGATTTGCGCGAATGAGCAGACGCAGCTGCTGCTGGAGTTGAGGTGGAATGGACATCTTTGGATGTCGAGATCTGCGCTCTCTAGGCTGGTTCTCTGGGGCGGTCGCAGTTTCTGGCGTTCTTGGCGATGGCGGTCCGGTCTTGAGCGATTCGGCCTTGAGTGACTCAACTCTAGCCTCTTCGATGATCGAGAGTTCGCGCTCTTTTGATGGCTGCAGATACCCGCGGAGCTGTGTTGGAGTGGGTGGATGAGATGCTAGAGCACGCGGATGTGAGCTCTCGGCGTCACTTTTACTCTTTTCAGCGGCGCAAACGTTGCAGAGTACCATCTGTGTTTTCAGCACTTGTATGTGTGCATCTTGCTCAGCCTGCGAGACGGAGGCCTTGACTTATGAGGTTTGCAGGCGATGTTTCAAGGCGCTGGCGGGAATAGTAGCGTTTGAAACCGCGGACGCCTTGGAGTTGCTAGCTCTTTGACTGACTTCGAGTAGTGCGTCGCAAAGTCGACAATGATAGCCGTAGAGGAGTTGCGACTGTCGAATAGTAGCTTGCGCCTGGTGCGCGCGACAAACTCCTACATCGTGACATGCTGCTGGATGGGGTCGCGGAGGTGTTGCGGGGAGGGAGTCGGGCGATTGGGCGATGATGAGGGGACCCGATGTTTTAGCGCAGTTAGACTTCCCGCCCGCGACATCCTTCCGATCCTCACCGACCCCACATCGTGCTGACGCTACTGACCACCCCCTCCGATCTTGGATCCTGGAACGAATGCTGCGAACATTCGGGAACAAAGTCCAGAAAAGCGACGTCTTCGCTGTCTCGTCAGGCTCCATCCGATCAACTTTGTTTTGCCACCCACCGCAAAGCCTTGAGTGGGATGAGTGCCCAATACATACTGGCTGGCATCGCAGCCGCAGGACTAGTGTTTTGGTATGATTTCAAGAGCTGGCAAAGCTTCGGTTCGCGAACCTTCACGTATTCGTAAAGTGCGGTTGCTAAACCGTCGCAGGAACCGGAGGCACGCCACCCACGTTGGAAGGCTACATCAAGATCCGGCGATGGGGACTTTACCTGCTATACACGCGCCAAAACCTCCTAGATGCGTCACCCATTCCTGACTCAGGGATATCCTACATAAAACCGCAGAAGATTCCAAATCGCGTTGGCCGTAGACCTGGGCTCACGCGCTGGACACTGCCCCAACGCCAGTTTCCAGAGAAGATAACACCCGGTGCCTCCGCTACACTTCACAATCTGATGCGGGAGTTTGCGGATGCGAAAGCCTACTCGAAGTATATCGAGACAGGCCCAAGTAAGACTGAGGGTGGCACTGGCTCAGCCATCTACGTCAAACCAGATGTCAAGACCATCAACCCCGTCGCACACAAGATCTTCTTCGAAGTAGCGCATGTACACCCAGCAGAGAATTCATTGCATGTGTACGTAAGCCCACAAGACGCGAAGCTCGTGATGAAGAGGGGCTGGGGACAGCGCTTTCCAGTGACTTGGCTGGCACCGCCGAGCTGGATCATGGTGTATGCGCCAAGGAACGAAGATGAAGTTGAGATTGTGAGGGAGATAGTCCGGGCTGCTGTATGCCATGCGGTTGGGATGAATGTCGATGCTGAAGTTTAACGGAACGCATGCGGGAGGATTATGTTACCTGATGACGTTGAAAGATATTGTCTTGCTGAGTTTCCTGCAGTCCAAGTTCGGATATCGTGTGTCGAACGGAGGAATACCCGCCCGTGTCATCGGTTGATTAGTATCAGGGAGTTGGGCGCCTCAGATTGACACAATTTATCGCACAGAGAGCCACTCTGCTTCAACCCACTGCATTCAAAATCTTTACCACTTGGGAAACCAACATGAAATTCATCTTCCTAATTCCCATCATCCTCGGCCTGGCTGTCGCTGGGCCAATGTCACCACTTGACCACGACGGAAATGTACTGGAGCGCCAATTGCCAGACCCGGGAAAGGCATGCACTCCTGAGCAAGAGAAAGTACGTATGCGCTTGACTGTATGGCAGCGAGGCGTATTGTTCGTCTTCGTTTTCACTATTGGAGCTAGAGGCTGACCAGTAGGATTAACGTAGATTTGTGCTGCGAATGGATGTGGTTGTTGGATCCACGGAAATGTGAGTGTGGACCATTGTTCCAATTTCAAGCTCCAACTTTCCTAAGATGAGAACGTATTGCTAACAAGATTGATCTAGCTCATATGTATCAACGTAAGTACAATTTCTTCTGCCGTCGTGCGCGGCTCTGTCACCGACCGATGGATGATATTGACATATCTTGCAGTGTTAGGGGGGATAACCCTGACTGTGAGGCAACTTATGGCACTCTTGCAAGGGTTCTTATCTGCTTTATTTCACCCGACTTGAGGGCTTGGGGTTAGGATTCTAGACGGTTCCGGTCAATCGGTCCCACGTGCTGTAGTATGATACAAGGGCTTCAAAGCACGTCAACCAGTGAATCAACATGATGCATCTGGTAGTCAGTTATCTTCTAATATCACGAAGAGACACTGCTGTCTAATCCTTAAAGGCTCTCTCGCGCTGCCACATTATCATAATCTACCTAGGTACGCATATCATCGACGTGCGCTCATATTGACGAGGAGCCATCTCAAGTGATTCGATGAGAAGGTCATGAATCTGACAATGAGCTGAGTGTCTCGGTATCGAAGGTCGTCATCGTGCAGGTGTTTGCGGAATGTCTGGGCACGGCATTGGGGAAGCGGAGAACCGGCGTCAGGCACTAGCGTCGTTTGAATGACGGCGCCCGCCGCTTCCGTTGCAACTGCATCTCACTCACTCTAGCACTAGCATACATACTTCGGATTGCGTGAACGGCCCTGCAGCATGGTACCAGCTTGGTATCTCATGTTAAAAGTGGTCATGCCTCGCTCATCTCTGCACCGTCTTGCTCTTTTATCGCAACCTACAACTTCTTACTATGGGTAGCGTCGACACAAACCTTAAAGTAATCGTCATTGGCGCCGGTACTTATTCGTTTCCACGACACTAGTGACGCTTACTGACACGCACGCAAAGGCCCTGCCGGTTGCGCGCTCGCTCATGGTCTCAAGAAAGCTGGCATCTCCTTTAGCATATACGACAAAGGTGCTGACGTCTTTCGACATCGTCATTGGGCCTTCACCCTGGGTTGGGCACGGCCGTACCTATTCGATCTCATCCCTGAAGAGCTTAGCAAGCAGATCAACTCATGTCAAGTCGACCCGTACGTCGACTGCGAGGCACTCGGCGAAGATCGGATCGTTATCTACAACGGCCAAACGCGAGAAGAAGCATTTGCATTTCCGATACCAAAAGCACGGGAGATCAACATCCGAAGATTGCGCATACTATTAGCCGAACGACTAAATGTCAATTATGGCAAGAGCTTCTCGTACTATGAAATGAAGGATGATGGTGGGGTCAGAGTGCACTTCGAAGACGGCTCCAGCGATGAAGGCGACATAGTCATCGGCGTTGATGGCGCAATGTCGAAAGTCCGGCGGTGCCTCATACCGAAGGATGGCAATATGGATACACTCCCATTCGCTTTGATGAACTTCAACGCCTCGTACACCGCTGAGCAAGCGCATTTCATCAAAGATCGCCTCCACCCACTCGTAGATATAGCGATCCACCCTGCAGGCCACTATATCCGTGCCAATGTGCTCGATATGCCGGATGAAAAGGACGCAAGCACTTGGACCTTCCAGATCCTGTCGACGTGGCCGCTGAAGTATGTTGAAGACCACGACAATGAGACGGATCGTCTGAAGCGCCTCAAGGCGCACGTGCAACGAGACGGATGGGCGGAGCCCTACAAGAGCGCGATCGAATGGATACCAGAGGACACAACGGTATTACGCGATCAACTCAAGATATGGAAAACGGTTCCTTGGGACAATCAAGACGGACGAGTGACGCTGTGCGGCGATGCTGCGCACGCTATGACCTTCCATCGTGGGCAAGGCGCCAACAATGCCTTCTACTCCGCGCATTGCTTCGTCGAAGCGCTGAAGAGCGTGCGGAGTGGGAGCGCTTCTCTCAAAGATGCAATCACGGCTTACGACGAAAGTATCTGGAAACGCGGCGCAAACGAAGTGCAGATCTCCAAGGCGCAAACGTTCTTCACGCACGATGGGTTGGACAACTTCATCAATAGCCCCGTCATGCAGTTGGGGACGAAGCCAAGTCATGCTGCGAAAACAGAGGGCTATCAGTAGCTTGTGAGCCCATTAGTCCGCGCCCACAAGGTACGGTTGGCTTTTGGTCCTTGTTCAGCTCACATCTTTCCGTCAGTAGTAGATTCTAAGTAGAAAAGTTAATTTCGAGCTTCAGTTATCGTTGTTGATTGACTTGTACAATCGCGTGTAGTCGTAAACTGCATGTGGTTCTAGCGCAAACAGGCAGCTCGCTTGTGTAGTACGCTACATGCTTCTGCGAACTGATAAGTAAGTTTTGCGGGAGAGTAAGGATGTTGACAAGATGGAGATAGCATAGCCAGGAACATGCTGTTTGACGTTGGAGACTAACATGCTAAGCGAACGAAAGCTGCAGAATGAATGCGCATCGCACTTGTCTGTATTTAAGAACACTAAGGACAATTCGAGAATCCGGATGAGAATGTTACCGTTACACCATGCACCCCGGCAGGCTTGGAATGACGCTACCCTGCCGTGGATCCACGGCGTGCATCACCGACAGCGGAATAAGCCGCAAGTGTCGCTGGAACTACCAGTGACAGGTTAGGGTTATCGCGATTGCCTATGACAACAGAGAAGCTCGTCGCACGCTCGTGAGCAGCGCATACATGCCGTAGCGACATTAGAAGAAAAAAAGAAAGAGTGGCGAGCACAACGGGACGACTGCGACTGATCCAGCCTGCTTGACGTTGAAGAATTCTCAACAGATGCGGCTCAAGCGGCTGGTTTTGGTGTGGCTGCACGGATCTAGAGCCGCCACATGGAGATGACCGAGACGACGAAAATCACTTACAACCACTATCCCGGGAAACCTGCCCAGTTCTCAGTCTAGAAGGCATTTTGCGGGTCCCCAATCGCATCAATCATAGAGAGAATCAAGTGGCATCATGTCAGGCCCCCAATCTTCGAGTCAGGGCTCAACCGCTGTGGAGACGGATCGAGGATCCGAGGATCATTTCGCTCGCTTGTTGCCCGCCTTGCGGAAAATCCTTCCCCCACACAGGCTTTCAGCCTGCCCCTGCATGACATGGCGCCCGTCCCGGAGTCATGTCCACCCCTATGGCAATGGACACGCAGAAAGTTTGACAGACTACATAGCCGTCTCCCCGGCATGATGGATTTCGAGTTGGGCCGTCTTCAACACTACCATCCTGCTGACAACCATGGCGCGAGAAGATCGATCTGGAGAATTCACCGGCGTCTTGGGCTTCTTCATCTGTATCTGCACCCTGCTGGTACTGCTTCGATGCTACTGCAAGCTGGTTATCGTGAAGAACTTCGCAGCCGATGACTACTTCTCTGTCCTTACCCTGGTATCCTTCTTAGTCTTTTGTACCTCCGCACTGCTAGGTATCCAAAATGGAACCGGCAAGCGACGATATCTCATCCCAGACGAAAAGTATCCCGTAGGCATGAAGGTGTGTAGTACAACGTCTACAGCGTATTCCATGAGGCTAACAATCTAAATCAGTGGTGGTGGACTTGCGAGCCTACTTACGTTGCTACGAACTTCTTCCTCAAGTGCAGCATCGGCATCTTCCTGCTGCGTATTGCCGTTGACAGAACTCATCGCATCATTCTTTGGACCGCCCTGATCGTCATCCAACTCTACAGCGTGTACTTCTTCTTCATCTTTACCTTCCAATGCTGGCCTGTCTCGTTCTTCTGGGAGCAGTTCCGTGGCGGCAAAGGCCAGTGCATCCCCTCTAATGTCGTCGTGAACTCGTTCTACGGCTACTCTGCGTTGTCCTGTGCCACGGATTGGACGTTTAGTATCGTTCCAATCTTCATTGTGCACAAGTTGCAGATGAACAAAAAGAAGAAGATGACTGTGGCTGTCGTCCTTGCTTTCTGCGCTATGTAAGCTTCTTCCACCTCTAGTGTGTTCTTTGCATAGCATGCTAACTCGACACTAGCGGCTCTACTGCAACAGTCGTCCGCATTCCGTTCATCAACGGTCTTAACGACATACCCGATTTCCTCTACTCTACCATCGACGTCGCAATCTGGTCCACCTGCGAGACCGGAATCGGCCTTGCCACCTCCGCCGCCGCGACTCTCCGCCCTTTGCTCCGCCAAGTCTTTGGCGACATGTCGACGCATGATAGCACCTCGCGCAAACACTCACGCATGTGGAATTCGGGTCACCCGTCTCGTTCTGGGTACCGGGAACACGCCAGTCGGAATACTGAAAATGATATTCAGCTCAGCTCTCATGATTCAAAACACCACAACCACACTGTTCATGTTGTCGGTGGCGATGGGTCGAGTCCGAGTGGGAGCACGATCGAACTGAACAAGGAATGGGAGCAGGACAAAGACAGCGGGCCGACTGATGCAGGTGCAGCGGGTCACAAAGGGATTATGAGAACGGTCAAGATTACGCAAATGTAGAACGAGGTTAATGTGTATTAGAAAGTATTGCGCGATTAGAGGGATTCGCTAGAGCATAGACGTTTTTCCTTGGCCCATTGTATCTCGTGGAGATTGACACTGTGTGCGAACTGTTTCTTGTATCGTTAAGCTCACCCCTGTGGCGCGCAGGGCGGGCGCTAGCCGCGGCAGCCTTGCCTAAAAGACGCTAATCTTCGGGGGCTCCGCGAACATCTTGAAGCTCCTCCAATCTATATCTCCCACATCCTTATGGCCAATATCACAACGGGCTTGAAAAAGTGCATGTCTTTCCTTTTACGACTTTCAGCTCATCGCGGAGAATTCAATGTCGCAACAGGGCCTCATCTAAGTATCGATTAGGCGAAGACATAATTTACAAAGGATTAGGTGTCATACATTATCGCCACCACTACGTCTTATTGATACCCATCCTTCCCTTCAATAGCCGAAGCGCCCAAACTCCATCAACTACAATGATGGTGAAGAACGAGAAAACCAGACTTCCACCAAACACCAGACTGTGATATGTCCAAGCATCTCCTACATTTAGATCAACCACTTGACATGCGATCGCCCATGGCAAGACGTACAGTATATTCGATGCAAGAGATTGGTAGAGATACCAGGTCGGGCGCGTCGATACCAGAATCGCAGCTAGCTGTGTCGACACACCGTACATAATGTAACACCAGTCGATGGTGCGCCACATGCGAGCGGTTATACGGGCGACCTCTTCAGAACCCGAGAGGTATCGTGCAAAAGGCTCGGCACCAGCAAAGGACATGATGAGACAGAGTGGGATCTCAACCATCAATACGATGACGACGGAGTAGAGAGCCCAGCGGATCACGTTCCATAGTTGCCGGCGTGTAACCTGTGACTTTGCGGACCGTGAGACACCCACGATACTTGCACGCAAAGCTCCCCATGAGTGGCCAACAAAGGTCAGGGTTGTGGCTTCGAGTGCCATTACTGGTACCATAATCAGACCCCACCGAATAGTAGAAAAGACGCCCCAAGCAGTTGCGTAATCGCTGCCCAAACCGACAATACCATGTACCAGCCAGAGGTATAGCGCATTACGGATGGCGGATTCAGAGAAGAAGATCGCTCCTGGCCTTGCGAGTGTGACCAATGCTGGTAACGACGGGATTGTTTTCCGGCTGGATGTATCGTGATGAAGTGGAGATTTGGAGCTCACGGTCGTTGTGTAGACAAAGTACACCAGTCCCGCAAACGCAGAAGTGAGGTTGCAAGCCAGTGAGATGCCAGCCTGCATGTTTACCGTAGGTGTGATGCTTCCGACGTGGAACTTGGAGATGATGATCAAGTCGAGAATGATGTTGACTGCGAACTTGACCGAGCTTATGATGAGTGGAACATCAGGCTTGTCGAGCGCGCGGGTTGAAGCGCTGACCGCATACTCGACTGCCGAGCTGAATGCAGAGAACGCAGAGATGCGAACGTATGTAACACTCACATCTCTCACTTCGACAGGGACGAAACCTTTTGCGAATGTAGAAGCGCCTGCAACGAAGCCAATGCTCATTATAAGACCGAGAAGTGACTGGAAGAGGACGAGGGTATGGGTGAGCTGCAGTCGCTCACGGAAGCCACGACTGGCCTTGTCGCCGATGACGAGATACGAAGCGCGCGGTAACCCTTCGTTCAAGACTTCTGCTACTACGCCGATGTACGTATACGTGTCGGTTGTGACAACCATTGAGGAGTCGATATTGGCAACCCATAACTTCGACAAGGTGCCGTAGAGGGCTGGCAAGATGAAAGTGCAGGTGTTGAACAGAAGCGCTCCGATGTACCTGTATTCAGTCAGTGCATGTCTAAGGGAGAAACTGAGCTGTTTGTTCCTACGTATCGCGATGCCATGAAGGCTTTAGATCAATGACGGCCTGCTTCCTCCACGATAAGCGCTCGCGACTTTGCGCACCATCAAGCGCTTCATCGCGCTCATCTACCGCAGAAATTTCAGGAGAGTGGGTCACGCCCATGTTGTCTTCCTTGAGGGAACAATCTGATACTGGTGTCGGAAACGTGATTGTGGTGTGGATCGGTGATTGTGGTGTGGATCGCAAAGAAGAGGTGGAAGCAGTCATGTCGTTCTATCGTCGCGTGGGGCGAAGGTCAAATCAAGCAAACGCGATAGCAAATGGCTAAGCTGTATGCACATGCACGACCCCGCGCATTGCATCTTGAGTAGATACAAAAACGAGTGGAGGTCAAGGAAGCGGTGGTGGGGCACGAACGCGGGGAATACGAGGGCTTTGCCGCGGATGACAATCCTTACCGACATAGGGGTGGGTCAGCGGAAGCACATGCATGAATGTGATGCAGCTTTTGATTGGATAGGTTGAATATATGCTAGGACAGACGCTGTGCGAGCAGACTACATACAGCTCGATTCGGAAGAGAGATCAATGCGTGCCCTGCTCATGCTTGAGACTATTGCGCTTATGACAGGTAGGTAAGCGATCTTAAAACCTGTGGAAGGCTTGCACGTAAGAGCCCCTGTCTTGGAGATGATTTCTCGTCGGCTTCAGCAGAGTACGAAATACTCGCTGAGTAGCGTTTCTTTCTTGTATGAGGAATCCGCGTTTGGCTCCGTGTCTGCCGTGGCAAGGCCATCGTCTACGTCATCTACAATCCGGTGATCGGAGTAGCTCCCATCCATCCAACCACACAAGTAGCATTCACCAGCTAGCTTCCAGCGTACATCATCATCACTCGGTGTCTCTCGTATCACGAATGGTACATCACTGCCATCAAAAATGACAACCACATCACCAACTCTAGCTTCTTTGCCCGACTTTCCTAGATAGCCTTTATGGGCGATGAACAATTCGGGACAATGAGTGCTGTAGATGGCATAAAATGACATATTGCCGACATCCTTCGGCATGGCTGGCAGTGTATGGCACTGGTGCGCAATGACCGTCTGCCAAAATTGATACCGAATTTCCTCTCGTGTAGATTCTTCCCTTTCCAGTCCGCCTTCAATGAGCCGCGCAAAACATGTTTGAACAGAGTGATAGACTTTCACCCAATTTATGCTTGAAACGCTATTCGGTATGAGGCCCTCAGAACTCCTAGGAAGGCTAGTCGGATCTTCAAAACAGTCGTCGTGGGTCCAGAGGTCTCCGAAGGTTTCCTGTCTATCTACCATTGAATCTTTTTGAGACTGTGTCTCTGTTAATCTTATAGGACAAATTGTTCAACAGCGGCTTATGCGATCAATCGCCACCCCTCGAACTCGGACAGACGCGGGTCTGACTATCTCAACAGAGGCTCCTCGGTATCTCCCGGCAGATCTCGTCCCAGCACCTGCTTTCCTGCACCAGGACTTAGATACTGACTTGAAAACGAATAAAGGCTGTGACGGGTCGTCTCCTAAGAACACTGCGTGTCGTAATATATCTATATCTCCGTTTAAGAGTACTGACCAGGTAAACTCCAAAAAGACACCCATGACAGTAAGACAATAGTTAGGCATAATTCTTGTGTTTTACCTAGCTAGCCTAAGTAGACCGCAGATTAAGTCCCGTTTGTTGGTACAGTTGGGAGGATGATCCATGCAACAACAGTCGTACAACGACAACTGTGGTAGGTCGGAGCCTGGTTGAAGATGCCATCTCGTACGGAAAGCCATGAGAACTATAGCTAAGCGGTAGCTGTCTAAGGACATACCTCTTTTCACGCTGGATTCGGCGCTGATAAGTGCAAGATTGGGTTTCCATTTAACAATTCGTGAGTAGAGCTTGTTTATCGCGTTCTCTAATGTCTTGTAATTAATATGCTGATCACTGTCAGAACGCAGCCCTGCACCACTACGCTATGCAACCAAAAAGGTACGTATGATCAGTGAACTACTGATCAGGGTGCAGGATAGTACATATCATCAGCCAGGCCTGACAATCACCGACCCAGATCTGCACATTAGCAGCAAGGATGAACTCTTGTATCACCCATAGCCTAGTAAACCATTCGCTGCTGACAATTACGATAATTGCAGCGACAATGCTGTCAACAAAGTCAGCAGGCTCAGGATATGCCATCGAGAAATCAATTTCAGAAGATTCCTCAAGCCAATGCAACTGCTAAACAGCTTCGTGAAACTTCCCATTGTCCAACCACATGATGACCATACTTGTATTCGTATAGACCGAGTCCATGTTCTTGACTTAGTGGCTTTTTTCATCGTTGTCCAACTGGTTGATGCAGACTGCATCCACACAGAGGATTCGGCTCCGGTCCGGGTAGCGTAGGGCTTAGAGCGCGAGACATAAGTTCTTCGTGATAGATAATACACTGTCGCTCTCCGTATCGCGCAGATGACATGCAGGAACGGGATTACTCCAGACGTACGAGAGAGTTTCGTACCCGCCATCAGACATCGATTGGTCTGTTTCGAACAATCAACATAATAAGACTGCGCCAGGCATTCCTGGTAAAAGCTCGAGGACGCGAATGGCATCAGTTTGCCGTAATTTCTTGTGGACGTAGCGCTTGGGATGAGAGGCAGCCAGCTTGGGGGACTCTGTCCGATGAGAGAAATAGAGATCGTGATATGTGTTGGACGACATTGTGCGCAGCTTCGATTAGTAGCTGGTTGCGAAGAACGATGTGATGTTTTGAGTGCTTGAAAGCTACTCGTGGGGCTCTTGGTGTGAGACCATGGACCTTATCTTTGTGCAGTTCATAGGAGTATTGGCGACCAAGATATCTGGTTGAGACGAGCTGGCAACAAAGAGTGCACTACATTTTAGTATAATTTCAAACTTGACATGGTCACGAGGTAGGGTAAAGCGGTCCAGCTTCAGCTGCGGTGGGGTCGGCAGCTGAGGCTGACCAGCTCGAGCGTTCATTTGCTTCCGTGGCTATTCACAACACCTGGCTGTATGCGCAGCCAAAATGTGTATCAGATCGTTGTCGAACGATGACTCGTCGTTTCCAGGTCCAAGACAGTCATTCCGGGCACGTCCTCTGATTGATCGAGTTGTCGCTATTCCGGGAACGTCAAGCAGTGCCTCCATCTCGGTTGTACGAGAAGGCTGTCGGCGAAGGCACCATGAACCCTGCTATGTCTGCAAGTATCGACGGTAGCATATCGCGATATATCTCCTCGAGCGAGGTTGTTCGGTTGAGCAGGCCGAAGACGGCGAGCGCAGTGGTTGTTGTTCTGCGTAGAGCGGGGTGACGCGCGATCAGGCGGTTGGGCCGCCACGTCACATCCCATTGGCCCTACCCAGGTACGCATATCGTAGCAACTGCCATTTGCTCCTCGCGAGCTGATTCCTTATCTTACACACTTTGTATGCATCGTCTCAGCCTCGCGCGCTGCCTTTTCTCGTAGCGAGATCGTTCCGAAAGACCTTGAGCAATTGTCCATTCATGCTGTTTCCACGCCTACTGAGATTTCGACAGCGTGATGGACGACAAAGTCAATCACCTGATCGTCGCCACAAAGGAACAGCATTGAGTGAGCATGCGCGCAGAATTACAGCCTCGCCTCAGGCGTTGTGGCGCGATGCGGGCGTCATGTCGGCGGTGTCTATCGCAGACTTCTCAACCACACAACCAGGCTGCATCATTCCATGACCAACATACCTCAACCTGCAAAGAGCCACCGTGTCCTCCTCTACGTGTTGTCTTGAGATCGTCTCCTGGGAAAGGATTCTATCGTACCGTCCCATGATTTCTATCTTTGATCCACAATGCCAGCTCTCTTCGATCGATTCTCAGCCTTGCCCGGACTGCTTATCACCTCCATTACCTGTTACACCTTACTTTACTTGCATCTGAGCAAGTATCACAGCTCGGAAAACTTCTTGATCTGGACTTGGGAATGTCGTACAGCTGTCACAATATTGGTTCAGTTGTTGTCGCAGGTTTTAGGCATCATATATGTTCACGTCGTGTGTGAATGAAGACAAGGTTGCAATCTAGCACGGTCATCGCTAACATTGTACTAGGCGCACTCGTCCGCTCATAATTCCTATCATTGACAGCGAATAAAACATTCCGGGTCAGCTCTGCGTATTTCATCTAGACCATTACTGTGCCACGGTGGGCCTCGTAATTGTCATAGATCTCAATAATAACCCTTTTAGTGATGCCAGAAGCTTCTATAGTCCCTGCATCGTTATAGGCTGCTGCTATTGTACTGCTACCTACACGACAGGATGCAATAGGTGTGATTCACGTCTCAACATTCAACGTCTCTAACATGACTGCAATGTGGGATATCGTTGAGACAGCCTGCTAATCACGACTCACCTACAGATACGGATACTGCGGCTCAGGATGCAACCTTGCTTTTGGTTCCTGCTCAAGCACATCTGTCGCCTCTCCTGCGATCGCGCATTCAAAGTCGACGCCAATACGTGCTACTGCCACTGCTTCGTCACCCGCCACCAAAACCTGGTGTCCAAAAAGTCTCTACTAGTGCGCGATGCGGCAATGCCCACAAAGCGTCACCTCCTGGAATGACTTGTGCCGGCCCAAATGGAGCAATTGCTGCAGTCAATACTCAGACTGGTATCTTCGGCGATCGATTGTTCCGTTACGTGCTTTTGTGTACTCATGCAACACAGTGAAAGCACCGATGCCTACTGCGGCAGCGGCTGCCAGCCAGGCTTCGGCAATCGCAAGCCCGCATCCTTGTCCCCATCATCCACGCCCGCGAAGGCCCCAGTTGCGCCATCGAGTGCGCTGTCAACGATGAACATACCCGTAGTCTCATCACCTGTCTCGTCGTCAAGAATCACGTCGTCCGCTACCTCGTCTCAGCCTATGAGCACATTGCTCACCGACCCTGTTTCATCTTCTTCATTTACAGTTGCGTCGGTCGAAGACCCGTACACAAGTACGCTTGTAACAAGCACAAGCGCATTGGCTATGGACGTGGGAATCCTGTCCTCGCTGGAGGTTACTTCAGCGTCAGCAGCAGCCCCGGAGATCGTTTCTGCGTCTAGCGAGGTTCCAACCTCGCTAGCAACGTTAGAGATCACTGCGTCCACAAACCCTGTCGCTAGCTCTCTCAGCGCATGAGCTAGCCTATTAGAATCGCCTACCACTATCACTGAGCTTTCAAGCACGGCTACAGCGCCGCTCGCTACATCAGAGGTCCCTTCCGCAGAAGTCGACACTGTCTCTTCCATCGCATTGTCTACCGTGCTCGAGACGCTCGTCGAGCCGACCGCCACGCCCACACCATCAACCACTGACCTCCAGACCTAACAAGCGAGACCGAGACCATCTTTTCGACTGCCGCTCCCGTAATTAGCACGTCGCCATCGCCGGAGTCCATCTCATCATCTGAGCTTACGACCACTACAGTCGAAGAGTCTACATCGAGCTCAGTGATCGAAACATTATCACTCTTCCCAGAGACTACAGCTTCCTCGTCCGCGGTGAGTTCTATTGTTGGGACATCCACCACGTCGGCGCTTGCGACCTGCAACACGCTCGCCGCGACGTACAACCCTTCCTTTGAGAGTGGTGCTACCGCCCCTTGGATACCGGCCGGATTTGCCTTGAATTCTGCGTACAGCAAAACTCAGGTGCTTTCTGCTGCTTCTGCGCCATTCACGCCGCTCGACGGGTCACACAAGCTTTACAGCACCTTCGACCGCAGTTTTCCACCAGGTCTGGCCTGGATATACACGCTTCAAAACGTGTACATCCCAGCTGGTAGCAATCTCAACTGCGCTCTCGGGGTCAAGGTGACGCAGGGCAGCAATCCCAATTAAGTTCGTAACATGCAAGCTTGGTTGTACATCGACAACCAGTGTGTGAATCCCGGAACCAACAATTACTTCACCGGGACATCTTCTAGCCTAGGAGCAAATGATTGGAGAAGGATTGGTGGAGCCGGTGTTGCAAATGCGCAAGACGTGCATACTGTCATGTTTGCGATGCAGTCGAATCTCGGTGGTGTCTACAGTCAGGGCACAGCTAAGTATATTAGAATCAGGGATTTTGCGGCAGAATCTCTTGAAGATTGGCCTGTGAGTAAAATATCTTGTAGGACAATCTTTATGTATATTTAAATTTTCTAGCAAAACCCCTACGTGTATTAAAATTCCGTACAATGACTAGTGCAATACAAGACGTTGCGTAAAGAAACAGAACAGTAGAAACAGGCGGTGAGGACTTATGGGTGAGGGACCCGTGCGCGTAGCGCTACGGCTTAGCGAGCCAATTAACAGAATCTGGGTGCTAGGCGGAGCACCCGGATTCTGTGGTACCATCAGTGTTACGGCAACCACGGTGGTTACCGTGACACACTTCTTCTTTTAGGTTTGGAGTTCTAGCAGAAGTTCCTATGCTAGTCTCACACGCAAGTTTCACTCAGACGACTATCTGCGTATTCGTAGTCGTATATAGCTTGCTTTGGCACGGTCCACATCGCAATTGATACGAGACTTCCTTATTCGCTACTCGGTCTCTCGTAATACGCGGCAGCCATCCCTGCTTGCGCATAACATCCTAGCATGTCTAACGATATCAATGCAAGTGTAAAACTGTCCGCACTCTTCAACACACGGACAAAAGAATCGGCCCGGCTGCAGCAACGCACTGGTTATCCAGGTTCAGAGCGCAGAATTCTCCAGCTTTTAAACCTCACAGGCAGACTCAGTCACTATTCTCACACGCAACGACCATCCCGGTTCTTACCAGCCAAATGGGAACGAAGGCAGGCATACGATCGGTTCAGGCGCCCCCACATCCGTCATCGCCATTTCGGTCCCGCAGCAAGTCGCTGATGAGGCATGATGAGGACATTCGGTGTGTCATATCCACGGCACTATTTTTCGCCGTCTTCGTCATCACTTGGCAAACTTTCACGTCGCCATTCACAGGTGGTTTACTTCCATTCGTAGCATGGCTCGCATTGTTCCAGCTTTCCTTCATGGGCGCTGTTACAACGCACAATGCTATTCACTTGCCTATCTTTTGGCATAAGGAGTGGAACAACTTCTACCAGATTTGCTTGTCTCTCCAGTATGGTGGCGCTGTGTCCATCTTCATACCAGGTCACAACTTGTCTCACCACAAGTATCCCCAACAAGCGAGAGACGTTAGTAAGTCCTTCGCTGTTCCTTTTCCGGTCTTTTCTGCCTTGCCTTGCCAACATCTATGTAGTGAAAACAGCGGCATTGAAGACTCAATCTCCACGCCTTCCACATGGCTAATCCTCTATTCTATTAAATAGTGCGTACTACCAAAGTTAGATATAACTGGAACCTCTTGAACGGACTACTCTTCTTTTGGCACGTTGTTCTCTCAGGAAACAAGGATGACAAGCTGTATTTCAAGGCTCAAGCCCGTCTCAACCGACCTATTGCAAAGCAGCGCCGGATGGAAGAGGTTGCCGTCTGGAGCGCGACAGTAGTGCTTGTTCTACTAGATTGGCGTCGATGGATCTGGTTCGCGCTGCTGCCGCAATTTTACGCCAAATACTGCATCCTCTCATTGAATTTCCTTCAACACGACGGGTGCGATATGAGCTCCAAGTACAACTTCGCGCGCAATTTTACTGGTCGGACGCTTAATTACTTCTGCTTTAACAACGGATTCCACACGGTTCATCATCTGCACCCCGGGCTGCACTGGTCCACCCTGCCGCAGAAGCATCAGGAGCTCATCGCACCTCACATTGCGCCGAGCTTGGAGATCTCGGACATGTTACTCTACATTTGGCGATGCTTTATCTATCCGGGCCATCGGCTGGACTATAAGGGCCATCGCCTCCTGATCTCCAAAGAAGAAAATGAGATGCCGGACGAACCATGGTTCTACAACGGGTCGGAAACCTACTCGGATACTCAGGAGTATCTTGCCTATAGTATAAGATAAGTAAGATAGGAAAGAACACTAGACTCGAGTTGATCTTATTAGTGCGTTTATAGTATTAGATAAAGGTTATAACTAACGTTATAAGTTGAGCTATAATGTATAAGGCAGACTTTACGCATAGAAGAGCAGGCTAGTGTAAGGGAGTAACTAAAGGCAATAGTACTTGCTTTACGTTATAAAGGATAGTAAGAGATAGCTAGTATATTAATGTGAGGAGCAGTTTAGCAGGCACTAAGATATCGGTATAGGCTTGTATTGAGACGAATCCTTAAGGAGCTATCAAGCCTCTTAGAAGGATAATATATATCTACGTTACGTGATCGTAGCTAGTGTGGGCCGACGGTGCCCTAAAGGGTTCCCGGTGGCTTACTAGTCTGTAGCTAGAATCCTGTGATAATAGAACATTGTGACAATTAATACTATAGACGCAGATAGTACTACAGTTACACGCGTAAGATAGCGAGTTTAAGTTAATCTTAATAAGCAATTTAGCAACATTAAGAGTGTTAAGGCTGTTATTAATTAAGCAACAGCTCTCTACCCTACCCGAGAGGATGTGCTTGATTGTACTACAATCAAGCTGTTTTGTTAGTAGCGATAAGAAAGCGATAAGGAACGAGGAGTGGGATCAAGGGAGTAGGATCAAGGCTAGGGATCTACGCTACAGAGCTAGCTACAGAAAATCTAAAGAAGCTGTTCTGTGCAGATTTACGCTAGGATTTCAAATCTTCACTCGGCTTGTCGATAGCTGCTCTCGTTGTTGAGATATCTGTGTTGAAAGGTAGAGGTGAAGTTTTGATGTTCCTCACGTGACTGCACGCTGCACAGCCACTGTTGCAGCGCTCTAGCTACACAATTTGATACAGAATTACGCCACAATTTCAAATCTGTATTTAGTTTGTTAATAACTGCGCTACTTATAAAGATATTAACATATAACGTTGTAAAATACTAGACCTTGCGTAAACTACTAGACCTTGCGCAAACTACTAGACTCACCAGCTTTGCGATATGGATCAGTATACTGCTTGTATAAGCCAGTCCATGCTGGAAACCAGTATACCTGACGCAAACTACTAGACTCTATACTTTGCGGAATCGCTATATGGTTTGTATGGGGCTGCGCATGTCTACACGGTTTCTCATACAAAAAAGCGCACCTCCGAGCTGTTTTCCGCCACCTTAACCCCGCAACGCGAATCTCGAGCCGAACGCTGTTCCTACACTACATAAGAGGGCACCCAATTATCGACCGAAGCCGACGGCCAGTTAAGACACCCGAATCTCAGCTTGCCAAGAGTAGGTTGATGTGAGGGGTAGGCTCTCAATCCGGGGGCTGAAATAGACGGAGTACCAAAAGGCGGGCGCTCGCCTCATGAATGGTCATCAACAGCAGTTGGGTGCCCGGGCAACCGGGCTACCTGGCGAAACTTTCTGCGGTTCTGAGGGATTTCGTAGTAGCAAATATTGGGCCGGCGCTCGCCTTATGGGTGGGCGCCAGTTGGGTGCCTCGATGAATTATTGGGGCGCCTACGAGCGTGGGTGCCGGGGTAACCAGGCTACCTGGAGAATTCAGTCAACTCCTGAAATAACGCGACCGTCTTCGATACGGGTGGCGTGGTTAAGCTGCACGAAGCAAGCATCAGATTAGGCGTAATGCCGTCCCAGCCAGATCGACTCTGTCCTCCAGTGTTTGGTGGAGAAGGTTTGGTTGGCAGCTAGGGGACTTCAGTGTCTTCGCTGGCGAACCTTCTACGTAGTCTTGACTGCATTATTCAAAATTGGTATCATACTTGCAAGCCGAGCTTCCGTCAAGGGGTAGCGGTTAGGGACGTCAACTCTGGCCAGCGCGTTACTCGGGGCGAGGCGACTGTCTTAGATTTTGCAGGCGGCTGGTGAAAGTCTATTAAAACGCGTAATTCCCGGTCTATCCTGACGGATAATCCGTTTGGTATCACGAGGTCTCGCGGCCTTGTGGTAGTTCTTAGTCCGGGAGATCGTGGTCCTTGCTTAACTGGACAACTGAAAAGGTCCGTACTACCAGTCAAGGAAGTATGGCGCATCTTAAGGGGGGGGTTGAAATCTAGCTATCCGCGCTTCGCGTGCGTAAGCTTTCGAGTAACCTGTCCCCCCAGGAATCGATCCTGGTTATGCTTGCATCGGGGGAAACGCCTTTCTCGCTACACCAGAGGACATGACTGGGGAACTCATATGCTTGTCTTTAAGACTAAGCAATTCATACCGCGTTGAAACCTCCCTAAGGGGGGATTCGGGCGGTGGCCGCCTGGGGGTTATACGGTGATGCGCATCCTAGTGCGGCCAGATCATACCGTGAAACTGCGAATAGCTTATTAAATCAGTTATCGTTTATTTGAAGATACCTTACCGCTTAGATATCCGTGGTACTTCTAGAGCTAATACATGCTGAAAACCCCGACTTCGGAAGGGATGCGTTTATTAGATAAAAGCCCAATGCCCTTCGGGGCTTTTGGGTGGTTCATTCAAATGTTTACAGATCGCATAGCCGTGCGCTGGCGACGGTTCATTCAAATTTCTGCCCTATCAACTTTCGATGGTAAGGTATTAGCTTACCATGGTTTTAACGGGTAACGGGGAATTAGGGTTCAATTCCAGAGAGGCAGCCTGAGAAACGGCTACCTTATCCAAGGAAGGCGGTACTGCGGGGAATATTATTGAACGGGTTTTTGGTATTCAAGCGGGTAACACCAATTAAATACTTGCGGTTCCAGGCAGGGTATCAACTTAAAGAGGGCATATTGGGGAATGTGTGAGCTACAGCCAAGGCTCTACTGCAAAATAGTAGTCGCTAAACCAGGGTTGGTGCGATAAGATGCGTAGGCGTTCCCCAAAAACCGTCTTAAAAGATGATTAGCATTTTACTTTAGTAAGATACTGCTAGGCCACACTCTCGCACATGACTGGTCTCTGAGAGACTGGGAGGAAATGTTGTAGAGTTGCGCTGTTGGTTTGTCCAACGCCGTGCGAACGTGGTTCTAGCCCCAGCTAAGTTAGCAATATTGGTCTTCTGACAAAAACATTATCTCAGCCGAATTAGTAATATGGTTTTAACTACGTTCCGTCCTGTTCTGTCCCGTCCTGTCCCGTCCCGTCCCAATTACCTTCTTCCTTCGGGTTAAGTGGGTAATATCCACCCCTTGTTCTTCGTACCAAGGCACCCTGTGGCTCGTCACAGGGTGCTGGATGTTATGTTCCCTCGTCCCTAAAACCCCCTTGCAATTTAATTCTGTATCAGTATCTACAATTAACAGTTAGTAGGGCTGGTTAGACGTGCATCTAACTGTGCTCTCGGGGAAACCCAGCTGGCGATTGTATCCTGCTTTCTGTACCTTTAGGGGTACTCGCGAAGCGTCATGCATATGTAGTAGAAAATCTCAGTTTCTTGTGGAGACCCTGTCTTAGGGACCCTCCGACCTCTGTGATGCTTCGGCAGAGCAGAGGAAATGGAGCAAATCCAACCCCATGGCCTATCAAACAGAATAGTTTAGGGTCGCTTCGCTGGCGGTGGGCGACATAGATGGGTGCGCTGGTGGGGCACTATCCTGTCAAGCAGTATAACTATTGCGAGATGGATCTATTCTGTTCCCTTTGGCGGCCTATTCCTTTACAACTCTCAGCAGCATAGATGTTTGGAGGACTTGAAACCTCTTGCCAAGACAACACCTATTCGCTGTTTGGCTAGCAGGTAGCCGGTGACACTGCATGTAAACTGACACTATCGCGGCGTAGCAAACGACTAATCTCCTCCCGTACGTCAGACTAGGTCAGGACAGCCGCCAAGACAACCATAGCGTTGCTCACAACATAACCCCATTTTCAACAGCCGTGCTTTTGTGCAAGCCATTGGAAATTCTTAGTTAGCATTTCCTGTGCGTTCTTAACGCTGTTAAATCTCGGAAACCCTAGCTTTTCATGTAGGGTTTCCCCTGGTATAATCAAACAGTAGGCCGCGCTAACAAGAACAGGAATCATCACCCCTGGCCACTGACAGGGCCTGGCCTCGTCCTGCCCAGTAGCGCAGAAGTGCTGGCTTATACCGCATTTCCAGCAGGTGTGTGTATTCTGAACCCCCCGTTTCCCTTGATCCCACTAAAGCTTGCGGGCTCTAACCTGGTCGCAGGCCTCTACGCTTAGGCCTTGCTCAACGGTTGTACACCATTCGCAATGTAAGTGTAAGTGGTCCAGCCAAGTTAGAGAGCCTCTTAGCCAGCAAACTGGGCAACCGTTGACTAACTCTTGCAGGGCGTTTCTCAGCTTGGCTTCTTCTTGGGCGTCCTGTTTCAAGACATTAGTGAGTTCTGTACTGCCTTCACCACAAAGGTCGCAGTTAGCTGCCTAGGCTTGAGTACAGGTAACTGACTGACCGTCTAGGAAGAGGCTCAAGATACTCTGTCGACAGGTGCCCAGGCGAGGATTAATAAATTCCTGGATAGCGGCCTCGTTAAGTGCACGCCAGGAATGGTCTACTAGTATGTCTAGTGCAGGTGCTTTGTGACGAGGGCTTTCAACTAATATGACTGAATCTACCAGCTGCCCTTCGCGACCAGCACGCCCTGATTCTTGGGCGAAATCTATCGCGCCATAAGGCGTATCCACGTGAAGTATTCTGACAATCTCAGGATAATCAACACCCGTACCAAGAGATGACGTGGCTGTTATGAGCCCACCGCGTTAGAGCCAGGCTTTCAGAACCCTCGAGCGGTCATCAGCGTCTAGGCCAGCGTGGTAGTAATCGCATTGCAATTTTCGGGCCAGATTTTCACAGGTATTCTTGTACTTGCCGTAGATAACGGCCTTCTGTTTGCCAGCCAGCCCAGCTAACCAACGCGTAGCGACTCCCTGGGCCGCCTTAAATAGCCCTCCTGGCTGGCATCGCTGGACCAGGTACCGGATATTTGGGCGCAGAGTAGGGGCGCGAATATATCGTGGGCTGCGAAGAGCCATAGCTGCACCTAATTCATACTCAAGTAGAGGTGGTTGCGTAGCGGTAAGTAAGATGAACTGAGCCTTAATAGCACGCAGCCGGGCGAGGTGGGCTAATTTTGGGCGCCAGTCAGAGCTAGTATATGTCAAGTAACATTCATCGACAACAATGCGCCTAAGCCAGCCGCCTTGCATTAACAGGGTAGCAAAGGTAAGCAACTCAAAGCTCCCAGCAGCGTCTGCGCTAACCAAAATTATTGGGGCCGGGCCGTTAGCTGAAAGTCCAGGTATCCATTCTGTAGCTGGAATTTTCGCCTCAGCTAACCGCGTTTTTAGGTTTTTCAGCAGCTCACGGAATGGGACAACAACAATAGTGACCCCTGGGTCCGAGAGGCACGCAGGCGCCATGAAGAGAAGACTCTTCCCGCCACCTGTTGGAAGAACAACAACAAGCGGTGTCTCTCCAGCCAGGATAGCGCGCAGGGCAATTTCCTGCTCTGGTGACTTAAAGGTAATTAGTCCCTCTTTTTGAACCACCTTTTGAACCAGAATTTGAATTTCTAAATCGTTAACTGTCGCAGGCTCTGCTTGGTCCTGCGCGGGCTGCGCTGGCAAAGATTTTGCAGGCGAGCCTTGATTTTGGCGTGAGATACCAGCAGCTTTGGCTACGCTTACTGGCGTAAGCGGGTTGGGTAGCGTGCTTGACAACTGGAGGAAGCGGTGCCACTTGCTGCTTAGATCACGAAACACCTGCACTGAGCGGTGGCTAAGGTGTGAAACAATGCCCATCTCAACGCCATAGCGTAGCGTGCCGGTGAGTTCAGAACGACCTGCCTGGAGATCAAGGCCGCTTTCAAGCTGCTGTTCAGGCTCTTCTAAATCTCCCTCTGTAAGTGCTTCTTGAGTGCCCTCACCAAACTCCTTACTAACCACTTCTCTCCCAATTGTGATAGCTGTATGGCGATATTCAAGGGTAGTAAGCCTACAGCCTAGCCAACATTGGGTCTCTCTGGAGATAATCTGGCTAAGCCGGCTTGTCTCCCAGGGGCCAGTATTGCTAGACCACACATAATCTGTGGGGGTTCTGTTGAGTCTCTCGTCCTCAAGGTATTCAGCAAGCGGCTGGACATGGGCTAGAAAGACAGCGAATAACTAACCAACTCTCCAGGGCAAGAAGCGCGCTATTACCTTAGGCTTATCCCACATTGCCTGACTTTTGTGATATCTACTAATAAAAACCACCTGGCCGTCTATAACATAGATATTTCGATCCTGTACATAGCCATTGCGGAAACGTGTAGTGGTAACTTCAGTACCTCGTGCTGGCTGCCCGCCCGTTACGTGGGTAAGGAAGAGCAGGTATTCAAGGAACCTCTCAACCCGGCGAAGGTAGCGTCGAACTAGTTGGGGCTTCCAGGCTGAACTATTGGTGTTGTATAGCTTGCGGCCTTGGGGGCTTTGTAGCATTTTAGATAGGGTTGCTTCCCAGCAACCTATCCTAGAGGATGTGCGCGATTGCACTACAATCGCGCTGTTTTGTTAGTAGCGATAAGAATGCGATAAGAAGCGAGGCGTAGGATCGCGGTAGTAGGATCGCGGTTAGCTAGCTACACTAGAGAGCTAGCTAGAGAAAATCGAAAGAAGCCATTTTGTGCAGATTTACGCCAGGATATCAAATCTTTACTCGGT